AAACCCTTTGGCTTAAAATAATTAATTTATTTACGGAATTATATATAACTTCACATCTAATGTACATTTCTGTCACAATTTCGCACAGAAATAAACTTGTATCCCTTTGTGTTTGAGTGTGTTACGTGTCGGGGTGAAAGCTGTGCGCAAACGGAACCTCCGGCGTCTCAATCGAAATTTTTCCTCTGGGAACGGACAGTGACATTAATTCTGAGGTAGATTTACTTCAGTATATTCAATAATCTCCTTCAAGAAACACCAGCAACAGTTTACAGTTTGCAGTTTACAGCCAGGGCTCTGCCTTCCAGGTTGTTGTAAGTGATCTGAGCGGGGTTCGTTGGATTAATCAATCGTTTCCATGTTCAACAGTGTCCAAAAGAACAATTTGCTTCCTCTGGACTCTGTGCTCCCCTGGCCCTGCTCTTTTAATTCAGTCAGTTTGTGCATATATATATATTAGACTATGCAATGTTTTGCTTGTCATTATCAGTTGTTATTTATTATTAGTTTTTAATTTTAAGAAATTAATTTTTATTCAACACGAGTCGGTGCGGTTCAGTGTGCATGTTGTGTTTTATAAACCTTTTGCAAAAGGTGGAAACGTTCAGGATAGACTTTAATTGAACTAAATAAAAACTCACTGCCATTTCTGCAAAATGTTTAGGCCTGTGTACCAGCCTATAAACTCCTAGTGGCATCACAAAGACAAGTGACGACAAGAAAAGTGTGAAATATATCACATCTGTTTCTGTATTGAAGCTGATGAAAGTCCTTATAGACGCTGGATACCTGTGCGTCAGCGCCGCTTTCTGACTGGATAAAAGTCTGTCAGTGGACGCCAGTGGCCTTCAAGGAACCCACATACGAAAACCAACACGACACATAGGCTGAAACGTGTTGTGACATATTTCTGATGGTTCCCCTCTAGAAACCCCGCGTTTAAGAGATACATATTCAGACAAATTTTAAATTAATTAAAGTAATTTCACTTTGCAATCGCGTTTCTCTCAGACCGCACCCTATTCTAAATTTACTCCACTTCTCATTTGTCATAATCGATTTATTTTCACTTAAATTTCAGCGCTATCAGATGCGGAAAACACCACCACACCAAGTCAGATAAACACGTTTTTTTTTCGGGGAGACAGTTGTTTTTGACACCGTGGCAACATCTGGTCTACAGTACCGGAGGGTGGCGACACCTAAAAGCAGAAATAGGACAAATATCAAACTCCTACAGTCTGATTTTGTGTGTCGAGCTGAAAACCAGGAGGAAACCGCAACAAAAACGTGTTTTCCTCCGCCATGCAACGTGTTTACATGTTGTCCTTTCTCTCGTTTTGCGCATCACTGCGCGTGCGCAGCGATTGTTCGGGTACAGTCAGTGATTTATTTAACTTATTTTCTTTAATGAGATTTGAGTCCAGAGTCTCTGAAGAGGTTTGGCTGATGGGGAGGGAGGGTCACTGGTTGAGCTCCAGAGCCCAGACCTGCTGCGGCCACCCGGTCCGGCCCTTCACCTTCTTCTCCGCTCCTAAAGAGTCCTGCAGGCCGTCGGTCTGTGGGAGGAGGGGGCACACAACAAAAACACCACATTATTATATTTAGTGAGTCACCGCATTTCAAAACTATTTCTTCTGGATCCGTGTCCTGATACCACCATACACCCCAGACTGGCCGTGCTCAGAGTCTGACTACACTGGAAGATATGGCACATGGTGTTTTCACGCTCCTGTTCACATGTTGGTAACTTCAGCGCACAGGGAAGCAGCCGGGGCCTCGCTGAAGTCGGTATATAGAAGTGAAACCCTGGTTTAAACATCACTTACTAAATACGTATAATATAGGCAGAAGGCTATTTTATATGTAATAGTCCAATAATTCAATCATTTATGATTCAAACTTAGAGTATACGTGGCACTACATGCATCTTTTGGAGGAAAACTTAATTTTTCTTTTTATTAAATAGAACCTTCACTTTTTATAGAAAATGGGATTAGCATCTATTATGTAGCCTTCTGTAGATGTTAGCATAATTTAAAAGTCGAATATATATTCTACCTGCTAGGTATCAGCTGCTGGAAATATTTTACGCATGCAGCGGTTTGCAGCTACAGTGTGTAAATGTGACAGTGCGGATCTCAGTGCGTGTGAAAATGTAAGGGTCTGAATACACCTAACTGTTAAAGTGACTTCACTAACGAGGTTGTGCGTTGATGTTAGGTTCTCTCTGCAAAGCCATAAGGCCCATAATGAATAATGTAGCTATAGTGAATTGGAAGTGACAGAAAATGCTGTGTTGCAGGTCTGTTGGCTAAACAGTGTAAATGAGCTAAAATATAACTTAACTGCTTCTGTTCAGGCTAAACATTGTATTAAAAACATGAAGTAAGCAGGGTTTAAATCTTAGCTAAATAATTATTAGGCTCTAATAAAAGACACCACACCGTTAAAATACACCTTTCTTTTTTTGGCTCTGCGTTTAAGGCCACTTTCCAAACCTCCAGATATTTTCCAGTGACTCATAATTGTAAATTAAGCAGTTATAGAAGCATATTTCTGTGTTGCAGTTATTTTGAAGTCACCCTGAAGGTTTTGGGGACACCTTCAAACTTACCAGATCCCGTTTTCTTTTCAGATCCCGGTTTTCAAATTTCTTAATTTCGGCCTTAAAGCCCTCCGTCTCCCCGGAGTCTTTGGCCAGGACGTCCATCAGGTAAGCGATGTAACTGGTCGCCAGGCGTAAAGTTTTAATTTTAGACAGTTTTGTGTCCGCCGGGACGTTGGGGATACACTCCCTCAGCTCGGCGAAAGCTGTGTTGATGCTCTCCGTCCTCCGGCGCTCCTTCTTCGGCCCCGACGCTCTCCTCTTCCCCATTCCCGCCTGGAGCCCCTCCAGCCGGGCGTCGTGCGTGGCTCCGGGAACTCCGAGCTCCGCGGCGGGGTAGGGCGCCTGGATCTGGAAGTCCGGTGGCACCTCGCCGTGGTTCACCACCCAGCTCTGGAAATAGGGCGCATCCTGATGACACCGCTGGACGAACGGGAAGGGCTCGTGCATCAGGTGGTGGTGATGCTGGTAGCCACCGATGAGGTTCATGTTGAGCGGGATAGCAAGTATGGAGGTTGCCGTGCTGGCCGTCGCCCTCGGTGTCTCTCTGCTGCTGCCCCAAAACGGTCTCTGCTCGGGGATCTACAGCCAACAGGACTCATTCAAGACTTAAATATGTATTCCCTTGAATTCATTAACGAGTCAAACCAAATGCAGCCAACGACTTCTTCAGCCTTGTCATTCTGAAAGCGACTTCAGCCGAGGCGAAAGGCCGCAAAAAGTTTATAATTCCAGAGAACTAATGTCGACGATGCGCTGGGCTCCGCTTGTGTTTCTGTCTTGCGATTGTTTCCCGAAGAGGAAGCTCTGATTTGCCCAAGAAATTTGACCCCGGTGAAGGTGTGAGGCCCCCAGGTTTATATGATTTGGATGTCAGCGTGGAAAGGAGGCAGCCAATAGAGGAAAGCGCCCACGATGGGAGGAGAGTCTGGAGAGGCTGCAATAACATGCGCCATGGTGCCATAATCTCACTGCACTAGCAGCAAATATCTGCATGTTGTAGCTGGTTTCTGGCTGCACAGATGTGCACATATGAGGAAAAGTTGGTTAACTCTCTCAGGTTTTGATCTGTTTTTTTTCCCAGTTTGAATGTTTTAGTTTTGGAGAAGTTTTACGCACGGAATTTATCTGCTAGGATGTAGCTGTTGAATTAGGCGCTGTTGTGATTCAGGGGTGTAAATGACCTTATTTTACGTATTTATTCAAGATCGATCATGTGTCTAAATGCAACAGGGGTTTCATTTTAGAAATATAGACGTATGAAGGTGCATGCATACATTTTAAATAAAAATAAATAAATAAAGAGAAAACAATTCACCACTAAAAAATTCTTGCTCTTGACAAAACAATTATTTGTGTCTTGAACTAAGACAAAAGCTAAACGTTTTGATAGATCAACGTCCTCATCTACTGTTGCACCGACTCCTTTTCAAGAAATGAAGGAATAATGAAAGACTTTATAAACTTCTGACAGTTTGTGTCAGTACTTTTTTGCTGCCTGCCATTAATTTACTCTGGAAGTATGAGATTATTTTTCTGTCACACTATCATCCATAGCCGTTTCAGCCTAATGATTGTTTAAACATTTTTCATATTTCGTAGACGCGTAATGATCGTTTTGTGCCGGGAATGGCTGATTTCAACAATATAACCAGAGTAAATAAGCCTGAGAAGATTTCATCCATCCCTCCTTTTCCAGTAATAACATTAGGTATATTTCCGACCTCAGATAAGTGTAAATGAGAGGTTTGATGAATTATTTGGTTCTGTTGGGACAGACGCAGTGCGCGGCCTTTTGTCAGCATACCTCAGCAGTATAAGGAAAAGGCCTGTAGCGGCTTTATCTCCGCATTAAGTCCCCACAGCTCCTCGAACACTAAACACATCATCTTATCTCCATCGCTTAAAAACATTATCCCATTACATTGCGTGACCTTGACGCTATTTAGAAACCATTTACGGCCGCGTCTTATCTAAATACAGCCATAAATCAGGAGGTGTCACCTTCCAGCAGGGTTACATGTATTCCATAAACGCTCTCCCGGCCTGTTCACTGTTTACAGCACGGCGGGTTGCAGCATAACTCACTGTCCCCCCGTCTCACAATAAATAATCATCAGTCACAACTTTATGTCCCGTATTTCACACGGATGTACAGAAGTCTGCACATGCGCAGGACTTTATGTTTCACCCTTTGTCTTCGTGTATTCTTTCATATTCTTATAATGTCGTAAAATTTCAGTTGGTGAATATAATGTTCATAACTTTGGCTACACGCTGTTTATTTGTTTGTTATGACATTACTTCAGGATTCCCACATTTTGCAGCTAATAGACTTTGTTCCAGTGACTACTTTGTTCGCAGGTTGGGTGACAAATGAAAGAAAAAACTAGAATAAAGTGAATAACTTTTTTTTTATTCCATGTTTCCAGAGCAGTGTCAGGTCTCCTGTGTTGGAGGGAGGAAACAGCGTCCTTCCATACCAGATTCCCACATTGTGTCCAACACTTTATTGTACTCCTTCAGCTGCAATCATTATCAACGGAATCTGTGTGGCTGTGTTGGTTGGACACAGTAAGGCATGTGAAGACGCCACCTTTGGCTCTGGAGAGTCACGGTCGCATTTTTTTACAATGTCTGGGAATAAAAAGATCGATCAGATCATCAATACAATAGTCAGCTGATTGATCAGTGACCCTGCTGTTTGGCTTTCCACTCATTTTCCTCGGGATTTGTCTTTAATTTTCCACCTTTTTAATCTTCTGTGCTATTATAAGACCATACTGCCTATCACTATAAATTATAAATATAAAGTACATTTTTGTAAATGGCATGTATATAGTGTGTATAGTTTTTAAATTTTTAATAACTTTAATAAACTTGATTATTTTTCAACCCTGGGTTATGAGTTGCTGCATTCAGATTTAAATGTTAAAAGGTTAAAATGTTAAAATGTATGACTGACTTATAAAATGAATTGTCAGTAACATCTTGGGAGCAGCGGTGGAGTGTTTTGTAATGGTACTATAATAAACTTTAATAATCTTATGTAAGAACAGAGAAAAATGTACAGCAAAGCAATAAAAATAAGAGAAATAACTGAGACATTATAAAGGAAAAGAGTCACATAGAACACCAACATTAATTTAGTTTGTGAATATGCAATTCTGATGAACTTGCATGAAAATGTATTAGAAGGAATTTAAACTGTGTCTGTGCAGCTTTAATACTTTTCACTTTGGATTACTCCTAAACCTAAACCCATCGAGCCCCTCAGGTGTGTTGTGGTGATTCTGGTATTACAGTGTGCAGAACTGTAGTATAATACAAAAGCTGTAATGTGAATGTAGTCTGATGTGTGCAGCTTTGGTTTTGAGCCTAAGAGAAGAATTTCACCAACTCTTGTAAAAATGAACAGGACAAACCCACAGTAAGCAAACCCCAGTGTGTTCTGTACACACAAACTACAATTTTGTTGAACATTTCATGCACAATATTACAAACCAATGTGCTTCACCGGTGTGTGACATGTTCCTAGTAACACATGAAACAATAGCATTAGGTTTTACAATATTTTTATGCAAGGTGGTGCTGCTTCTGAGCAGAATGGAGGCACATACTCCTCTCTGTCCTGCTCGCCACTCACATGTTACCTCTGCTGTCAGCATGAAAAACACCATGCAGCCTCCAGAAAGAAACCCTGACACTGTCGATTAAGACGTTCACTACACAGAGATGAAATGCAATCCTGGTCATAGTCCCACCCCCTCTTACTCTGTCTCTCCATCTCTAGTTCTCCTCCACATCCACTGCTCTCTCCATTCTTTCTCTCTCCATGCGGCTCTTTTCCTCTGACCTTCATCCAGAACTTTCCCTCGTTTTGATCTTTCTCTTGCCTCTTTTCTCTTCATTCGCTATCACTCGAGGTGCTGAAAGACCTGGGCTGCACTAATAGTCTCTTCATATTTTGCTATCAAACCCAGTTGACTCCAGTCATCTCTCTCTCCCCCTCTCTCTCTCCCCTCTTGTTGCAGGGGAAACATCCAAAATAGGTCATAAGGAGCCATCTTGGCCGTGTTATGAATTCTCCTCCTAATTGTTTGTGTCATCATGTAGATTTTTCAATAGACACTGCTTCCATGCTCTTCAGAGTGCTTACCCTCAACTCTACATTTTTAAACAAATATTCCCCCTCATTCAAAGGCAGACACGCTCAACATGGAAACCACTGGAGAGCTCGCTCAGCCCCAACTGTTTATCATACAGGGGCTCTTACAGTATATATGTATATCCACCTCTGGCGTGCATCGACGCCGTCACGCAAAGCTAATTAAACCCACTGGGTACAATTAGACATGGCAGCTCCTCCTCGTTCTGGGATATGTGGGCAAACTGGGTCACGTCATTGCAGTCAAGGAGTCCCTCAGAGGCCTGGTGCCTGATGGGAGAAGAAGCCCCACATAGGGCTGGATAAAGTGGCACCGGACAGGAAGATGCTGAGATGATCACTTTCATTGAATTTATCCTTATCCGACTCTGTTGTGTTGTCTTTGAGGCCAAACTGAGGTCAGGCCTCATCTCATCAAACCAAGAGAGTGATTCCTTAATATGCATGAGCATCTACTAATATGTGCTAGGTAAGGCAAAGTTATTTATATGGCACATGTTCATACACAAAGGCAATTCAAAGTGTTTAGCACAATGCACACAGATAAAACATTAGATTAAAACATTCCGTGCAAATTAAAAGCAACAATTACCTGATAGCACACAGTATCAACATGCAAGTGTAAATGCCTAGTACATTTAGGATGTATCACTGTACCTCATTATACTTGTACCCCTTTACTTGCACCAGAGGCCAATGTGCTGAAGCATCAGTGTCTGTACAGTCAGCTCTGCTGCCTGGTGTGTTTTGATAGTATTTTTGTCACCTTTTTATGTGCTCATGGCTGTGCGTGTGTGTGTGTGTGTGTGTGTATACATATTAAAAAGTTCTGTTTATAATTTAATTAGCTAATTATTCTTAATTGTTTAATTTTGTCCATTTATTTACTTTAAAAGTAAAATAAAAGTGATATTGTAAGAATAGAAATGTAATATTACTACAGTATGTAATCAAGTGTAATTTTATGTTATATCCCAGTACAGTGCAGGTAAATGGGATTTTATTTGTGCAGCTCAAAGTATTAAAAAAAGATTTAGTTGACGCTGGATAATCCACAGAACATCCTGTGTTGCAGTTTTCATAGGAACTATTTTCACCCAGTGAAACTGCTGACAGTGTTCTGTGAATTCTCCAGATTAACTGTTTATGGTAGTTTTTGAGACTACTGATAGGTTTTATTTAAAAACCTGGACAAAAATATCTCTAGAAATAAGTGACACGATCTGTTCCCTGTCTAATAATTTGGTTGAACTGCTCCTTTAAGAAAATCGGCTTTAAATGGTACATCGCAACAAAGTGAATGTGGTTTTTAATGGCCGTCTCTGCCCTTGTATCATTTTGTAATTCTCCACCTTTTAGCTGGATTGTTCTGTTTTATCATGCGACTTCCACATATCACATGTCCTCTGTAAAAAGCAGACACGCCGAGAGGTTCACATGTTTTGTGCCAGTATCTCCCTTCTCCTCTCTTGTAGATCGAGCTCTAGTGCAGCTGTTGTTGTTATTCCAAAGCAATGAACAGAATTTTCTAAGATGTAATTTAAACTGGTGCTGATGTCATCCAGACATCTCACATGTATTGTCTGCCTCATGTAATGTGACGCTGTTGCGACTTACCGGTCCGTGGTTCCTCAGCATTACTCTGAATTTACATGTTTGCAAAATGAACAACAAAGTTGCTATGACATCAGTTTAGTTCATTTTGGTTTGGGTTGGTGTAAGATGGGTTGTTTGGGTTTTTAATGTGGAGCAATGGTTCGGTGGTTACTTATAAAAAACACTCGTCCTGCGCTGTTTCAACCTCAGAATACTGTCTGAATAAAAGGGCTCCTTTTTGTATTGATGTACATTCAGGCTCTGTGCTGACTCTTCTCAAGCTACAGCTCGAGTAAACAGAGTTTATTGTTTGTCATTTGGGAGCTTTAGCAGACCATTGACTTTTACTACAGCTACTTCAAAACAACTTTTTCCCCACTTTCCAGTTTCTTTTATTATCTGGACACGGTGAACTCTCCAGTGCAGCTCCACCACGTTAGACGCAGCTTTCTTCTGTTATATATTGTCTTCTCTTCTGTCATCTGTCCATTGTTAAGTGATTGTCGTCTCCAGGAGCGTCTGCTCTCAGCTCTCTTTGGTCATCTGCATCTCAAAGCTCCAGAAACCGTCATCTGGCTGCTGTAATTCTGCCCGTCCTCAGCCCATAAAGATAAGAGCAGGATGGCTGGAATGTGCAGCAGAGAGGTGACAGTGACGAGTTGAGCGGACGTAAACTGACATCAACTCCAACACTTTCTGTAACTACCTTTTACCTGTCTTTGTTTATCTGACGAGCCAGTGAAACACTTTTTATCAGTAATGACTGGGTATGTTTTATATAAATGAATGTCGGCTGTACTCATCAGGCTGTTATAAAACTACAGTGATTTAAGCTATAAACAGTTCACGACTGTTCTAACACTTGCTGCTGCTTTGGCAGCTCTTCCCTAACAAGGATGTCTCCTTTGCTGTGCTGACACTGGCTTATTGTTTCAGCAGAGGTTTTTGTTTAATTAAAGAAAAGATCAAAAACTTACATCAGCAACAGGAAAAAGCAAACAGAGCAGATCTTATATTGTTTGACTAACTGGATTTTTGGGCGGTGTAGTACAAACAAGTCAACCCCAGAGCCGTTGTTGAACATTTTCTCATTTTGTCCTCAGGCTGTTGTTTTGTGCAGTCATCAACAGCCGACGATGTGACACAAACATTTTCATTTCTAAATCCTAATACACATATCACTTATTATATGCAATGGACAGGTCAGTTAAGGATGCAACAGTTTCAGCCATAACATCAAAAAAATGAAACATAAATCTAGACCCAAAGATCATGGCTGTCCCTCCACGGGTAGATCAGCGAGGTTACAACTGTGATTATCACCTGTAGATTAACTCAGACATATTCAGTTTTCAATGAAATGAAATAATGGAAAAATGCAGATTGTCACATTAGAGAAACTGGAACTGGAAAATTGAAAAAAGACTTAAAATAATCAGTTAATTTCTAATAGTTTCAGCAATACAGAGGTCACCATAACCATCTCTGTCATGCACAGGGAACATTTTAAGCTCCGATCAGGAAATGTTAACAGTGTAAAACTGTGTGTTTCTAGACATCTCAGCGATAACTGTTTCATCGTTTACTCTGCTGAGCAAGTTTTTATTTTTTGTGAAGCAGAATGGAGCCACATGTTATGCCAACATGAGCCGTAAGTGCAGAAACTTACAGTCAAATAATCTCATTGAAAATGTAATCACTTATTTTGGCAATCAATTAAAATACTAAACATCTTCCTGTTTTGTTTTTCATATACAGAAAATGAGATTTTTTTAAATGGTTTTTGTAGTGTTATTTAGGGCAAAAGTAATTTTAAGATGCCACTTCTGAGCAGGAAGAAGAAAACGAGAGTCGTTTGCTATTATTTTAGGTCTTAAAGACAAAATGATTATTGAAAGAATAACAAAACAGAAGAGTTGACAATAATTTTTTTTTGCAGAGATATAATTCTTTAAAGCAGGAGTTAAACCACCAGGAGATGTTATTCAGTCTCAAATGTTGCCAGAAAGCTGCACTTATCCATGTTGATCCTCACTTTAAACTTACATTGGTCAGAGACATCAGCCTCCCACCTACACACACACACACTCACACACACACACACACACACACACACACACACTGAGGTCCCATGCTCTGGGTCCGTGGACCACCGGCAGGTCGGCCTCTAATGATTTCACAGCAGCAGATTTAACAGAGGGTGGCTGTTCTGTGTCAGACGACCCCAGAGGGTTTAGAAAGGCTGGCAGTCAAAACACGGGCGTTCAGGTTTGACCCTGAGATATCTTGAGGTGGAGGCAGTTCAGAGAGCGACTTAACGCTGAAGAGGCTGCAGCGCTCCACTGTTACATACTGGAAAAAGACATTTATAACAGCAAACAAGCTGCATCCACTCCTGGTCTGACCTATGAGCATTTCTGTACATTTTTACATCACGTACGTTTAAATGTTGAAATCTTTTTTTTTAATTCCGGCCTACAGGTCTGAAATAAATTCATCAGTGTCCATCCAAATGTTACTTTTAGCTTCAGCTATTTATAAATGCTGGATGTTTTTATTTGTCTCTCAGTTATAATACACATATAGAGAAATGCATCACGTGGAGCCGTGTGAAGGCTGTTGTGTATTTTAGGACCACTGTGTGTTGCTGGTGAGGTCTTTGTGCTTGGTAACATAATTGCCCCTCAGGCTCTTAATGACAGGCACAGCTAGTTAGAGTCCCCGCTTGTCCATTCATACTTCGCTCTGGCCCCCTCGCTCTCCTGCTCATTAAAACAGTGAATGGGCCACAGATGTGGAGACACCCATTAGTTTTACCTGGAAGGCGCTTTGGAAGGGGTGACTTTAGGAAGCGACGTTAACCACTGGGGTGAGGGCTGCATTTCTCCACTGGGGCCACCCAGACTAAAAATGCCTGCGCTTATGGTGGCGTAAGGAGATGTTCATCCGCTGACAGATTCTGCCTGCTGCAGGTAGAGAAACAATATGCTGTTTCCAAAGTCCTGCAATGACTGTTGGCCGACAAACATTTCTTTTAACTGTAGTCCTCCCACCCCCCATGTCCTAATCCTCAGATGAGTTTATTAGAGGAAGAATCACAAATGCTTAAAGAATAGTATTAGGGTCATTTCATCCACCAGAAGTATTGTATGCGCCCTTCACCTACACACTTTTTGTGGATCTGGGTCTGTTTCTCATGGCCTAAAATGAGCGACAAGCTTAAAGCTATGCAAAAACAATAATATGCCAGACAGTTCACCAAGCATCAGTGTCAGATGCCACTAATGCAAAATCACAATCATATACAAAGTCCTTCTCAAGGGGCAGAGACTGTCATGGCACCAGATTAGTGACCATAGTATTGGGATGACATGGCCACTCAAAGGCTGGGTGTTGACATACTTTTGTGTACACTGAAGTAGTTGAAGACACAGCTACACCCCTGCCCTGTTGCCTCTGATGAACACACGTTAACTGATGTGCACAATTAAAGCTTCAGAATCAGTCAGTATGCTCTGGTCTGCCCCCTGTGACTGTCCTGTTTTACCTGCCTGACTTTTCTACCAACTGTCATTCCCCATCCCATCCCTAGCTGTCCCTGGATTTTCCCTCCAGCTCTGCTCAGCACACCTGTTGCCTATGCAGTCCACACCTGTGCTGATTGGTTTCCTCTGGTGCCTCATGATTCCTGCCACCCCTCACAGACTGTGGCTCTGCCTCAGGTGTTTCCTGCTCGGTGTTACCGCCCTGAACCTTGTAAGTGACCAGTTCATTCAGTAAACATTTTAACCTTACCTGCCAGCCTGTTTTTGTATTTGGTCACATAGACGTTTTCTATCCCTGATCTGAGAAGTGCCCGATGAAGTGACCAATCAGCGCAGCTTTAGTGTTTTGAAAATGTAACACAGTTCATTTACTCATGATTTTAGTTTGTGTGAAAAATCAGCCTTGTGTGTTACATGAATAGAGGGATGTTCATTTTTTATGCAAGTAAGTATGAATCCGCCATGAGATCAGGCTTGATTAGTGAGTTTCAGAGCATTATTGGCTACATCAGGAAATTTATCTTTACTTAAACTCAAATCCTGAAATGTGTCCTGCCAGAAAGTGTTTATGCAAAAGAAACGCAATGAGTAAGAGGCACTGCAGCAGTGTATCACTAGGTGCATATATTACTGGCCTATATTTGCTCTGGTACAGTTTTCATTTGCTTTGAAAAGTGTTTTCTGCATTTTTAAGAAACATGCAAACTGTGAAGTGAACAAAGGATTTAACAGTGTGATAAAAATGCATTGTAGTAGTTTTACAACTGTCACACAATCCTTTAACAGTGTGATTTCTTTCACCTGGAGATGTTAGAACAGGTCAGATTTGGAATCAGAAAGGGTTAACGTAACACATCCTTGTTTCGAGTGCAGCTCGGTCAGGTTTCTTTCCATTCGTCTCAGCTGTGTCGAAACTCTTTCCTATCTGTAAAGCTCCTAAAATAGCCTCGCAGCTCTGTGTCCCAGCCAGCATCAGGCCTCATGATAGTGTCAGATCAGCCTGTGGAATGCAGCGACAAACTCTCAGCCTCAGATTGGATGCTTATCACAGCAACCTGAGCTCTGATTGGATGCTTATCATAACCGTATCCTGTTGTTGGCTGATAGAATGACCTTTACAGTATCAGTGGCAGGATGCCATCAGGGGGCGAGGCGGCTGGGACTGGACTTTCCCTGGTACTTTTTCACACCTCTGGGTTCCTTCTCTAGACCTGAGACCCAAATAAAGTACTATTCATAAGTTGCATGGCTTTGCAGCTGTAGCCTGTCACATCATAAAGTCACCTCCTGCTCTGAGCCACTGTGTTAAACATACGGACAGTACACCCAGGATAACAAGGGCAGTCATTCCATTTAGATGCAGTGAAACTGGACAATCAGTCTTTTCTCTGGGCTGTGGAACCTATGGAAATAAGGAGCTGCACAACTTACTGCATGTACTTAGACATGTATTCATTAATGCTCTAAACTTAATATAAATGTGGTAAAATAGGAGCTTGTTTTGCTGTCAGGAGGTTTCTGTTGCATTTTCTCATGTGGAACATGTCCACGTCAGTTTGTCCAAGGGCGAGTGGAAACCATGAGCAGGTCTTTGAAAAGATGATTTTGTGCTTAGTTATCACTGGTGTTTTAAGAGAAAGAGGCAACACTTTTTATCATTTTAATGGCCTTGAAAAGGGAAAAAAGCACTGCTGGTGCTTTGAAACACAACCACGGGCCATTTCATCCAGGTGTGGTCCAGGTCTCTGATACCTGCAACATGTGTGTGGGAGAAAACAGGTCATCGCATACAGTATGTGTTTCAGTATGTGCATTATTGCACCTACAGTTGCATTTGTAACACAGTTGTGTATATCTGGATGAAGTGTTGAGCACATAGCAGTGTGTGTTCATTAATCTTATAGAGACAAAGCAACACACTGCAACTCTGTTTTCTGGATTTCTTCAAAATCTCTTAGACCTGCAGGAAAAAAATGTGTCAACACTTGAGATTACTTGTGAGTGTACATGCCTTTAATATGTTGTGTGGGTCTTTTTTTGTGTCATCATTGTGAGGACATTTTAGCAGCTCCTCACAACTTCAAAAAGCTTTTTGAAGGTTGGTCCAGACTTGGCTTTAGGGATCAGGCTTTGGTTAGGTTTAGGTTAAGGGTTGGGGTTGCACATAAGTGGTGATGGTTAAGGTTAGGCTAAGGCTAAGGGGCTAGGGAATGCATTATGTCAGTGGATATAATGCATTGTGTCCCAGGAATGTGCAGCATTCTGTAAGCTCAACCTGTCTTTAATTTACATTTTAAAACCTGTGTTGTATTTATGTTGCTGTCACTGATTGATCTGGAGCTTCTGCTTTGAGACAAACAGCCTGTACAGTGACCAGAGCCTTTACATGCCGTTCATCTGTTGTTTGCTGCTTACACAGTTTGTCTGAAGTTTCTCAGTCATCCAGGAGAAGCAGTAGGTTAAAGGGTCTGACGGACTGCAGCCCTGACTGCTCTCATTGATTGCCTTGGGGTTACATTACCACCATTTACTCCTGACCCAAGCAGTGACTTTGTATAAGTGACTAAAAGTTGAAAACTTGTGGGGCATTCAGCTCAGTGAAAAGGTCAATTTGAGTCTTGGTGGTTCTTCAGAGCCTAAAGGATTGTGACAGTGACCAGGCAGAAGCCGTGTGTTGGGCCAGGCTGTGGTCAGACTGAGTCTTTGGAACATGAGGAATTCACTTCAGTACAATTCAGTTTTCTTTGTATAGCACCAAATCACAACAAAAATCAAAACTTTACAAAGTAAGGTCTAGACCTGACTGTATTAAAAACAATCCCCCTGAGCAGCACTTGGTGACAGTGGGGAGGAAAAACTCCCTTTAACGGAAGAAACCTCAGACAGACCCCGGCTCTTGGTGGGCGGCCTTCTGCCTCGACCAGTTGGGGTGAGTGGATAGAGGAGAGACAAAAGAAGAAAAGCAACAAGACACAACAAACAATGAAACACTGGACAGGTTGATGTGGCCAGTGCCTGCTCATCAGAGACGTAGAGCTCCAGAGCCAGGATGACCTGCAGATAGGTACAGGGAGAGAGGAGAAACACAGTTAGTGACGGGTAGTGGTGGCGTATAGATAAGACTAGTGGAAGTAGAGAGGAGAAGTGGATTGTTATGCAGAAGTGGTTTGAGACATTTTTATGACCATTAAAATGTGTTGTCCTGAAAATTCAGTGTAAATGGTGGTTTTTTATGAAAACTACAAACTTTACACCTTTACACCTTTGTACACGTTTGTTACGGTGTTAATTTTGAGGAATTGTATATTAGCTCTTGTTAAACTGTAGTCATTTGATTTTTGCTAGTTTCAATCAACAAACTAAAAACACTACAGTCTAGTTTTCATCATTTCTGTCCTGCATCGCTATTAATATTTTTGTTTGTAAAGCTTTTTGAGGCTGCAGCTGTCGCCTTCGTTGTTGTGTACAGTTACCATGGTTACAGGTGTTTTTGTTGTGGAAAATGCTGTTTGTTTACAGACAATGTCCACGTCCTTCTGCTTTGATTAAGTCACATTGTAACAAACTTACTGGGTTCAGGTGGAGACGAAGCTCAGTCGTCAGGCAATGTTCACAGAGTTCTGTTTCTTTAGCCAACATCTAGAGGACGACTCAGATGGTTGATTGTCAAATGGACAAAAAATACAAGTTAAATCTCTTACCCTTTTATAAATGTCTGCATCTTCACAGCTGTTTTTTTTTCTGCATCAGTGGATTGTAGATGAATCTAGTTCATAAACTCGCTTTTTCCAAGAAGCGCTAACATCAGACGACAGAGACAGAACGTTACTGAATGTAAGATGCTTCTTATTAACAGAAGTTCAAAGGGTCAAGCAGCTAAATCAGCCTCTGAACAAGAGTGATTTCGGTTTATCAGGGGCAGCAGTTTGCGATTCCAGCGATGTAGCAGGTCGCAGATTAAGGATTTGTGTTCAGACGGTCGGTACTCCATCCACTCGTCTATTTCACGTTACTGTTTGACTTTGATTCATTATTCTCTATTTGTTTATTAGCACTGCTTTGACACATGAAACATGGATTTTGGGTAAATCACTTAAATATATTATTGGTGTCTCAGAGACAGAACGTACTAGCAACACACATCAGAAGTGAAAATCAAAATAATATAGTAAAGTTTGTCAAAGACCTCAACTTGAAACAGTTAGTGGTGGTTTTTCCCATTCACTCCAGTTTATTTTGGTGCACTCATTAGAAGAACTACAGCTTAAAACACTCAGCACTGACTTTAAGACTCAGAGGTTTCAAGAGAACATCCATAAACATTATTAACCAGTACCAGGAGATGTGAATGTAGCTGTGGGTGGCACAGAGCGCTGCCTCCTGTTTGTTCCTCACTAAATGCTTTGGCAGAAAGACGCAACAATCCTCTACACTGATAATGTTACGTGTCATGGATAAAATACTCTAAAGATCATTAGTGCTACTTTAAATTACACCTAAGTCGTGGTTGACTGCAGAACTGCGGGGTGTAATTCTGTGGCTGGGACATAAATCTGACCATGACTGCTTTGTGGCTGCACAGGTCAGTTCTCCTGTGGGAACGGGGAGATGAGAGACTCGAGGTCAATCTGGGCTAAGCCCCGCTGGTGCCAGCGGACCCCCGGTTCCCCCGACAGACCCCGAGACAGTGCTGACATCAGACCCAGGTCAAATACTGAAGAAGTAATGACATCAGGTAAGTTTTCACTTCATGCTAACAGATTGACTTTCAAATAGTTTCCTGTAAACAACGTTTTCTGTGAGGAAAACCAAACGCACACGGAGCCCCACAGGAGGCGAAAATAAACCAGTGTGTTGTCAACGTAGAAACGTGCACATCGAGAGACAGCAAAGCAGGTGAGCGTCTCCACCTGGAAAGAAAATGTAGGTTTTTTTGTCAGGCTTATATAGTTGATATCATCAAATTATGTGTCATTATGTGTCAAAACGTACATTTGTGATGTGACACTATATCCAAATTACGATTGTTTGATGTAAATAAACAGCTATAATTTAAAATAAGCCATTAAAAACATAAAATGTAATATTAGGCCAAATGTGTGTGTATGAAAGAGCAGGTCACGGCCACATATTTGCAGCAGCATTGTTGGTAATAGTTTTTATTTCCTGTGTTGTTGTACTATATTTTTGATGTTGGGACGGGTTGTAATCCCATGTGAGATGTTTTCTAACTAGTTGGAGAAAAAGGCTCCAAACATCTAAAATGTCAAATTTAAACTCAGCTGCGAGAATCTGATCCTTTTGTTTGTACCAAATCTTTTGGTTTTGTCCAACATGACAAAGAAGATGAAGCTCAAAAACTGTTTAGGACACTGTAAGGTCAAATTTCTGACCTTTCATGGACTGAAATTTTAATTGATTTGTTAAGAAAATAATCAACAGATTACTCGCTATAAGAATAACAGACCACAACCAAAGGAGTGACTCTTGCTTAATGCTAATGGGAGAAGGTGTTTCTCTGTCTGCAGATACTTGTTTGTGATTTCCTACATTTCCCAGACTGACTTTTGAACTCAGATAGAGAAATATGCTGGTGTGGAAATTGATGACTTACATGTATGACTACACATATACATTACACTTAATCAAAACTGTTTAGTTTCTTTCAGGGATGTATATTTCATAGAAAGATGTCAGATATTAACCACTGGCGGTTTAACATGATGAGCATCTGATGGAGAGTTTGGAGTTCATGAAATTTTGTGAGAACCTGTTGAGAGCAGAGACGAGTCTAGTCAGACTGAGCGCAGGGTTTGGGAGCTCTGCTAAGGCGCGATCCCGCCGCTCTCTGCGCCATTTTCCCATTCCCCTGCTTTTCCATGTCGACTTTGCTCTGTAGCCTCGCTCCTGAGGAAAAACAGACGCCTTTAGACTGTGTACACGTCCATACCCCACAAAATAAAACAGTATGCAATATAGTTTTTGATTCGGCATGTTGTGACTCAGATGTTTCCATGTAGTGAGTCCAGCTCCACAAATCTTTGCCAGTTTTTAGCAGTGATAACAGCTATTTGATTTGTCCTCTGCAAAACACATTGTACTCTAATCCAATCAAAGAGCAGCCGCAGAGAGTAAGACATCATCTTTGCCTTGTGGAGATTTCCGTTCCCTCTCTCCTTGCTTGGCCATGCTGCCTCATCTGGACGGTCCCTCCTGTGGATCGTCCGGCTCATCGCAGCCTTATGCAGGATGACAAGCTATAATTTGGTGTACACATTTACCTCATTTGCATGAGAAGCGTTTGTGCTGCCTGCCACCGAGCCGAACGAATTACGCCGGCGGTTATTCTCCATCTAAATAAAGGCAGGCTAAACTGTGAGTGATGCTGGGAAGTGAGGGAGTAGCTCATTACAAGAGAGCAGCTTTTGTTGTGAGTAACGTCTGTGGTTTGTTGATGCTGCCATTGTGACTGGTAAACAGTCTCATCCTGGCCACTGACCAGATGACAAGCAAATCTATGAGGCAAAAATCACCTAAATGACAGAAACGAAACGTTTTCAGAGACTGAAAGACCGATACGAAGTGATTCTTCCTTTTGAATGGAAACGTGCTGCTCTGTCACTTCAAGGGCAAGTAAAAGGCCTGCACTCAAGTACATAAATATTAGCATCAAAATATACTCGGAGTACCAAGAGTAAAAGTACTCATTATGCAGAATGGCACATTTCACATTAATGTAAATCATATTATTGGATTATAATGACTGATGCAGCTGGTAAAGGTTACCTTATATACTTATACTGTACTTTACATACTGCTGGGTAGCATGTGAATTTCCCACCAGGGAAAGTTTGATGATTATTCTGTATTTAGTTTTATTGATCTGATTCTGAAAAAGAATTAAAGTGATCAGACACATGTAGCACAGTAAAAAAAAGTACAGTATTTGTCCCTGGAATGTAGTGAAAGTCAAGTATGAAGTACAGATACCTCAAAACTGTACTTAAGTACAGCACTGAAGTAAATGTGAATATAACAAACAAAAAAGACTAAACTAGATGTTTACCCGAAACATTTATATGTCATCCACGAATGTTTCATACAGATAAAGATTAAATAAACACCAGTACAATTTAAGTTGGTGACGAGCTGAGATTTTTGGCTTGCAGCAAGCTGCTTCTTTATTTTATATTTATATCTTTCCAACTGAGATGCAGTTTGACGCTTCACTTCAAGATGAGTCAGGACAAGTCAAGTTGATTTCATTTATGTGGCTTCACTCAAATGTGTCTCAAAAGGAAGCCTACCACAAAAGCCACTCACAGTAAATGATAAATCGCCAGATTTACGCACAGGATTCATTAAAAATAGACACAAAGGCACGCTTCAACACTATACAAGAAGCAAGGAAGCTCCACACAGATTTGTCATTTAGATCTGCTGAACAAACTTGTGTTAATCAGAAAAATTCCTTTTGGAGACGGGGTACAAGAGCGAGCACTCGTCTTCCAAAAGTAACAGGTTTTAATACAGGTAAATATCAATATAAACCAAATGTCTTTACAGATACAGAAGTCTTTTAATAACTTGAAAAAGCCACACTATCTTTGCTTCATCACGTTACACATTCAGAGGTAGTAAGTCTGTTGTTGACAGAAATGACATAGAACTACAAAGAAAAAGAGAGATACAGGAACACACTCACAAGCAACTGGTCCGTAGCCTCGTTTTGTTTAATGTGTCTCCGGCTCATTTCTAACCAAATTTTGCGCTTGAATTTCTCCAGACTTCTGTGAGCGTGAGAAGACAGAGCTGCACACAAGACCAGATCTAGAAATGAAATCCTTCCTCCACCCTGACACGATTATTATAACCCACCACATAACATGAGACTGTCTGGCACTCGATCGTAAAGTGCGTGTTGAACGATACAGCAGTCTGTGGACACCTTCCGCCTCAGACTAAATATTGAGCAACAGCAGTTTCTAGCAGCAGGATGCCATACTGAGAAGAGGGAAGAGATCCTGGCTGCTCCTGCTCCACTGTTCTCGCCCTGAATGAGTGAAAAAGTTTCACCTAAAAAAAAAAAGAAGACATGACACCTACACTTAATCCACCTGAAATGCAGCTAAATGATCAATACTCAGGTCTTGACACATGAACCTCTAGTGTGCATGTGCCTGGTACAGTTTGAACTCTAAAGTAAACTTTGCACCTGTTAGTTTGTCTAGTTTAACTGTTTGCTGTGATAGAGACCAAAATAAATCCAACCACAGGACACTGACATGACCATGTTGTTGGGAGCATAGTCTCACATTTTAAAGTCCATGAAAATGACCTCTCCTGATGTTTTTAAAATCATTGTATCAAGTTATTTTGCTCTTACAGTTCAAGTTGTAATAGTCATCATACTGTACATCTGTGCATGTCTAGCCTGTAAAAACATTGGAAATGTTGCCTTTTCCCTAGATATATACACTAGATGCCACATGAGCCACTTCTGTCTATTACTGTTCTGCGTGACCACGGCCACCGTGTTGCCAGGGGCGATGTTGTGCCTCCTAATGCATATATGTGTATGAGGGCAGAAGGTCTATTCACACTCAAGCTGTTTGGTTTGTTACAAACCCTAGAGATGTAGTTATGATACAGCATGTTGGGTTAAATGAGAAATGCAGACTTTCATATCAAAACACTTCATCTTTTGCAGACTATTTATATAATGTAGAACATACAAGATCAAATGCCTATTATGGCAGGCTACACAGTTCCTCATTTACATTTTATTTACGTGCGGGTTGTGCAGACTTGCAGTTTGACAGCCACATATTCTGATAAACCAGCCTTACAGATGTGTGCAACTCCAACAAGAAATAAATCAGAGCTGCATTAATTGCCTACAGAAACACTGAAGCACATATACATAGTCTGGAAACGTAAAAACTAACGGGATCACTCCTTCCTTTAAACACGCTGTCTGTTCAGTCCTGTCCCAGGCTGCTGATGACACTGGGCTCAGTGTCCTGTCTCCTCACTGCTGCTGTCCATGTATTTCAGTGGACTTTTCTGGACCGTATACACATGTTACGCAATACTGTGTGCTTTTATAGCTAATGTTTCAATACAAACACAGGTTACGATATATCATGTTAGCGCCATGAAACGGTTTAAAGTAGACATTTTAAGGCTACGTCACACATTAATTGGTACAGTCATATGTCTGATTGAACAATATAATTTCCAGTATCTTACTGATGTAGGCCTATTATTTTTTTAAAAACACAGTTTCTTTCTTCACTTGATCGTTAGCTGGTTTAACTTGGTATCAGCAGTCTCATTAGCTGATTATTTTATAAGAAAGATCAGTAAACTGTTGTAATACATCATCACACTTGTTAAAATGAAATAGTGTAAGATAACTTCTTACATGTGAAACCTTATTCTCTGTTGTTTGATTCGAGCATTTTTTTTTAGATCGCAACATCCAAATGCACAGACGTCATATCTCTGGTGATAGTTTTGGAAATTTTGGAGGTTTACTGACACAAAGAGATGTTTACATTTTTAGATTATGCATGTTAATTTTTCAATGCTGGTGGTGCAGCAAAGGCTTTGAATTCCCAGTTTGGACCATAATTATTTTCAAAATATTTCACAAAGTCTGGTTGGTGGCTAGTCAACAACCTCTGTGATGGGTGGAGTTCCAGTGGGGGTGGCTGGGACTCATAACCTCGG